GATTCTGTGAAAATGCTTAAAAGCCAGTGGAGGTTTGTTGGGAGATGATTGTTATTGAAGAAGCATGATTTCTAATCTCAGTTTGCAGTGTGTAATGTTGTGTTTTGTCATGCCTTAAATTGCTACATCCAGAGCCTACCATATGTAATTTCTGATTCATTGTTAAACTAAGGTATCAGCTCTAAGTTTGTTTGTTTAATTGTGACACAGCGTGTGTGTATGGTCTAGGGTAATGTCACATTTTGTATCTTCATGTGTATGTGTATATGCTAATGAAGTAAGTGAATTATGGGATAAACTCGCTCGTTGCTCCTAACTCTTTGTTTTGCTTATGTCCTACTGCCCTCTAATGGACAACGTGCTTCATCGAGTATATAACTGCTAAATGGTATTAATACTGACTGCATCTTCCACCTGAATTTTAAGAGTATATTTTATTGCCTAAGATAGAGGGAATTTTCCTTTCTATTTCCAAATTTTAAAATATCTGGAAAGGTTTTAAATTATTTTACAAAATTTAATCAACAGAACTGGAATGAAGATCTATAGTTCCTGTTCATTACCTCGCTACAGTAGAGAGTTTATATTTACCCTGTATTTTGCTAAGGAAAGTTACAAGTTCTGTTCCCGGTTTTCACTGTAGGCTTTTTGAGGAGAACTGGGGAGCAGTACAACTCCTGCCAGTTACCTCTGAAATAGCCTCGCTCATTAGGGATTGTTAAACTTTTGATGTCAAGGAACAGTCTAGCTTCCTGTGTCTGTAAGGCATTTTACATAAACATGGTGCTTGATATTTACTGTCATATCAGAAACTGTGCATGGGCAATGTATCTGTGGTTTACACTAAAGATACAATGCTGCAGGTATGAGTCAAAGTAGTAGCTTATGGTTTTCTGAACACTTGGAAAAATATCTGTGGTTTTAACCACCATGCATCTGGTTTCACTCCCATATGAACAAACATCCAAAGTAGTTATTCAGAGCATGGCATGTTTTCCTGCAACACAGGTTAAAAAAAATTCAATGGAGTTAAATCTTGAATTCTGGCTATCTGGAGTTTTGATTTCTCACACATTTGAAAGGATTCATTGTTCAGCTTTTTTCTTCCCCTGAAAATGCCATTCTGTCACAGTTAAGACTCCAGTGTCCGTTCTCCACCTGGAATTCATCACTTAAATTCCGTTTCATGTAACAGGAAGCATAAATAACTGCAGCAGGTTCCTTTTTGACTGATGAAAGGGAGTCTCTATGCTTTCTGTGTAGTTTTATATCGCTATAATAACCAGAGTAATTATGACAAGTTAAAAGATGAAACAGACTTCTCATGCTATCTAGATCACTCCTTCCCACCATTTCAAGAGTGTTCTGTGTAAAGTATTTTCTGATGTTTTCTCTTGCTTGATATTTTAAGTCCTAGGAACTTGAGATACTGGCTCTAAATGAAAGCATAAAAGTATCTGTGGAACCTGGAAGAGATCACATGCCAAATAATAGTGTCTTTGCTATCATGAAGTGCATAACTCATATTAAAGACAACATGCATATAGCACTGTTAAGTATGTAATGTATTGTGATTAACATCAAGTACTCCTAATTTTTTAATTATCGTGATGAAATAAATATCTTACTTCTAATACTGAAATACTGTAAATACTGTAATTCAAGATAGTTGAGATTGAGCCTTGATGTGCCATGATTTCATTATGACTTGGGTTTTCTTTTCAGATGTGTTGGAAGAGACCTTCAGAGGCTTAGGCTATGACGTTCATTGTCACAGATTCTTAGATATAAAGACCACGAATGAAACATTGCTTGAAGTTGCAAGGTTGCAGAAACACAGAAATTGTGACAGCTTCATTTGCATATTGATCAGCCATGGAAGTCCTCAGAGCATCTTCTGTACAGACCATACCTTTTCTGGATTCCCTTTGGAACAAATAAAGAAATACTTCACAGCAGACTCATGTCCTGAACTCCTAGGAAAGCCAAAGCTTTTTTTCATTCAGAGCTACATTGTGCCAGAAAATGAGCAAGAATGCACTAGTCTGTTGGAAGTAGATGGGAATGATGAGAAAACCATTGCTAATGCAAAAATCCCTTGGAAAGTCACTATCCCCCAAGTAGCAGATATCTTTTGGAGTCACTGCAAGGTGGATGTGTCTACACTAGAAAAATCTCCAACTTCATCCTCCTATTATCTGCGTTGCCTGGCTGAGCTACTCTGCAATCCTCATAAAAGGTAAATTTAAGAAAAAAAGAGGAAAAAAGAACCCTTTTCCTATGGCAGCCTGCTGTCCTAAAGAAAGAGATACCTTAGTTTTCATCTCGTCTGGTTCTGAAAAGTGTCTTCATGCCGTGTCATACATTAAAAGGCAAGTGTACCTGATCCTGGGATGATGGCACAGGAAGGTAGTCTAAACTAGGACTGAAGTTTCTGATTCTGAAGAGTAAAATTAATTAAAGTGTGCTGTGGCACTGGGACTTGCAGAGTGAGAAGGGAAGAATCTATCCTGGGTAATGTATGTCAGTACTTTAAACAGGATTGGACATCTTCCTTCTCCAAGGTAACAAGGCACACACCAGGTTTCTGTCAAATTGAGGTTTGCCTTTTATCATTATTCTTAATATATGGGCTCTGCTTGAAGATACAAAATGTCAATGCCTACATTCAGGGAAAAGGCAGTTGAGAGGGAAGGATTTTGTCTTTTCTTTAGATCTAATTAATCCTCCACTCAGGGAACCACTAGATTGGCAATTTTTAAACTTGAATTTTAACTATCAGAAAACTTAAGGCCTACCTAAAGAGATTATTAAAAAAATCCGGGCAAAAGTCTGGCATGTTTGGATGTATAACTTACCAATAAAAGTTTTCTGGGTACAACTGATCTACCGGGGGAGCTAGCAACTGTTTTTCAAGGTAGTTGTGGGGTTATCATTCAGTACCTTTTTATAAACCCTAAACCCTCGTAATGAAATCACAGATCATCATGTCAGCATAACCAATACCACAACAGTGACTTGGGTTATAACATACTGTCTCCAAAATGCATATTCAGCCTTGGGTTTTAGAGACATAACCTCTGCAATAAGGACTGAAATTTGAAACTTTTTCCTTGCTGAGTCAAGTCTTCTCTCCTGTGGATTCTTAAATGGTGTCTTGTTTCATTCTCTAATAGAAAGCTTTTACTTTTGTTGCTGCAGGAAACTCTCTATATTAGATATCCATACGGAACTGAACAGAAAAGTCTATGAATGGAATAAGAACACTGACCCAAGGCAGCAGTACTCACTTCTGCTCCAGCACACACTGAGGAAGAAACTTTTTTTTTCTCCCACTTAACTGCTGTTGGAAAGGACAGGTCTGAAGTGGCTAACAAGAAACACTTACTGTCATTGGGACAGTTCCACATGTACTTTATACATTGTTATTGCATGTATATCTAAAGTGCCTATTGTTTCTGAACCCAGGGATTCAGAAGCATTTTGGTGTGTTAAGGCACTAGATTTTGTATTTTAATACAGAAGGCTCTGGAAGCTTGGATTAAAATGGTGGCTACTGTATAGCACTGCAACAGATCTTACAATCAAGTACAACAGGTAAACAGAGTGGGGAGAGCTTTAAACTGTATAGCTGTTGGGTTTTCCAGTTTTGTGTTTTATTGGTTGTTTTTAGCATGCCTACTACCAGTGCTGTGATCTAGGTTCCTCAGTTGATGCATAATACAAATACAAGCCAGGGCAAACCACTGAAATCTACTGGGTACTTTCGCCAGCACCTACTAATGGATAATGTGTCAGGAAAGAATGCCTACTCAGCAACGCCAGTTCTTCATTAGCAAGTTCTGGCTTGCGAGCCTCCACAGACTGTAGCAGAATAGAAGTAGAAGAGGGATGGTCTTTTAAGTAATTCGGATTCCATCTGCCTGCTGCATTGGAGGTTGTGATTCACCCAGAACCCTGTGTCATCAGTACTGTCCACAGTGCACAAGGTTTATATATAAATAAATAAATGAGACAGTCTGCCACGTTTAGGGCTGTGTTGTTTTCCGCTGATGCAAAAATGATGCTACATGCAGCAGCACTTTACAGTAATCTAACTCACGGTTAAAAATATGTGGGATTTTGGCAGATGTTTTGTGGAAGCTGAAACATGATTCACACTTGTTTCACCAGGCAGAGTTGTAAAAGAACATTTTATCATATTGGAACGTAAATGTCATGTAGCAGTCACTGTCTCTTAAGACTGGATCAAATTAAACACCCCACCCTTACTGCTTTTGCTTATGAAAAAGGATGTGTCTTTATTAGTTGGTTTATTTTTTTTCTCAAGTTGCCCTTGTCTGAAAAAGACACGAGTGAAAATTGTCCTAAATACAGAAATGTGTCTCCAGAGGAGCAGATACCCAACATGAAGAGTTTGGTTAACTTGCTTGTTCTGTAACAGTATAACCTCCATGAGTTGTATTGAAAGTTATTGTCACTGAGTTTATGGCATTCTCTTCCCTCCCAAAGTAGCCCACTTGCAGACTTTTAATACTTCTACTAGTGTTCTCTCCTGCCCAGGAAAAGAAATTCAAGGCCTTGGTATGCCTTGCATGGTTTGGTTCCTGGTGTGGTTACACCACACATACACCATACGTGTGTTGCATGCAGGCAGAACGGAAAAGGGGTTTTGCTAATATACGGTATGCTACTTCTTTGAGCAAATAGACTGCAAAAAGATATTTTGCTAGTGTAGCTGCATTTGATTTGAGCAAAAAGCAGATGTGCATATATATAACTTCACCAACAGTGCTTTTCGTTGGTAGACCCAGTGTAACAGGCAGCTGACCTATTCATGGTATACTATCAGTGTACTTTAGTATATTGATAATAATTAGGAGGACTTGGCCAGTACACTTACTCTGGTAGCAGTGACTTTTTTTATTCCTCGAAATGATGTACTTCCTAGGTGTCAGCTTGACATAATTTTTCTTAATGCTTTTTTTGAAACCAGAGTTCTTAAGTTTTATTCTGAAAAAAAAAATAGATTTCTAGTAGCTTCTATAATTGAAAATAAAACTATTTTTATTTGGCAAGGAGTAGATACCAAAGTTTAAAAAGTTGCTCAGGAGTCCTTCCTTGTTATGTGACGTAGACCCAGTCACTTCCTGGCTTAAGAGGTTCCTGAACTGCAGCCTGGTGAAGATTGTTAAGAGTATACCAAGAGGAAAAACCCACTGAACAAGACCTTATAGTCTTTAACTATCCATATAAAATGTTAAGGTTTAAAAACATATTTATTTATATTAATGTACCATTTTGTATAATATATAAAATACATTTTATATCATTGTGATTAAATCTTCACTTGCTCTCTTGTTCTACTTTTATTTAGTTTTATTTGAATCTTAACTCTAGAAAATTAAATACAAGGTTGTGTTGAAAAGAAGTTTCTGCACAATTTAGAAAAATAATTCACATGTATTGCAAAGCTATGTATTCCATAATTTTCTCTTTCCACTTCATAAGCTACAGTGTAGTCTTTAATACAAGCATGTGGAAATTATTTAATGGCTTTCAATTGGGAAATGCAACCCCAAAATTTATGTTAAATTATGGTCAAGTGTTATTTCTGTTACTGTAATTTTATGTAGGCACAGGCGTAAGAGGAAAAATATAAAATAATTGTTTGCAGAATTCAAACATTTCTCTCATAGCTTGTTCTCTATGAGCATTAAGTAAAAATACTAAATCCAATTTCATGATGTTATGGATGTGAAAGTAAATGCATCATAGGGGGGTGGGGAGAAAGGGCAGGTCTTCCTTTCAGTTTATTGTTTTCTAAGAAGGAGCCTATTGAATTGGTCCTTTCTCACAAACTAGTGCCATTTCGCTTCTGACTTGAAAAGTACTTTGTCTTAAAATTACATCCATATGTATTCCAAATAGCATTCCAAGTATACTCTGGTAGAGAACTTACTGCAGTGCATCAACAGAAGGCTCTGTATTATAAGTGATAGGTCATAAAAACGGCAAAATTCTAACCCAGAATATTTAACTATCTTACAATATAATAAAGCACAAGTGTAATTTTGGAACTTTACCTTGCTCATGTTTCTTGGGGTAAGAGAAGGATTATAAAATAACAGATCTGGAATCTTAGAAGGTACTTCCTGTAGTGGCTGGTAAATGAAGTAAATGGTGTGAAACAAATGTTTATTGTGGTTGTATTGGGTTGGCCAAAAAGTAATTGTGTTGTGTTGTGGTTTTTTTTAATAGACGGACATACATGTACTGAAATGTAACTAAATTCACCTTAAACTGCAAATTCATTATGTAAGTTGACAGTTCAAGCTTGTTTTAGAAAAATAAATTGCATGATTTCCTTAACATTTATTTGGTGTCAAAGGAACATTTTCATCAGATTTTGCTGTGTTGCTTCCAAAAAGGAAAGAAACGCTGTGCAAAATCATAAAAAGTTATGTGGTGAGTATGGTGAAGAAGCCTTAAAACTATGGCAGTGTCAGAATTGGTTTGCTAAATTTCAGTCCAGAGACTTTGATGTTAAAGATGCACCGTGCTCGGGAAGGCCAACTGAAGTCACTAACAACAAAATAAAGGCATTGATAAAATCTAATCAGCATTCAACAACACAAGCAAAATTGAGCACTGAAAACCATTAAAACAACTTGGACATATTAAGGAAGCTCAATATTTGAGTACCACATGAGCTCAAAGAAATTCATCTCACCAAGCGCATTGACATCTGCGATTCTCTCTTCAAATGTGAAGAAAATGATCCATTTTTTAAATGAATGGTAACAAGTGATGTAAAATGGATTGTCTACAACAATGACAAATGAAAAAGATGGTGGACCAAGCGTGATGAGCCAGCTCAAAGCACTTCAAAAGCAGATATGCACCAAAGGAAGGTTCTGCTGTCAGTCTGGTGGGATTTCACAGGTATTGTGTATTTTGCATTGCTTCCAAGGAACCAAACCATTAATTTGGATGTGTACTGTCATCAACTGGGTAAATTAAATGATGCCATCAAACAGAAGCGTCCAGAATTGGTGAACTGCAAAGGTGGTGTGTCTCTCCAAGAGAACACCAGCCCACAGACAAGTTTGGTCACTCATCACAAATGGCTGCAGCTCAGATGAGATGCGTTACCACATCCACCGTATTTGTCAGACCTGGCACCATCAGACTGCCATTTGTTTTGTTCTTTACAAAGTGCCTTGAATGGTAAAACCTTCACTGCTGCTGAGGATGTCAAATTGTTCTTGAAACTGGTTTTTGCTGAAAAAGATTAGGAACTTTTTTGAGCACAAAAACAGGAAGTTGCCTGAATGATGGCAAAAGGTAATTGAACAAAATGAGTACCATATTGTTTTTGCTTCCCATGGAAAAAATGCCTTTCATTTACCCAGAGAAAAATGTGATTACTTTTTGTCCAGCCCAATAGAAATAAGATGTGATTCCTAGTTATATATCTATGTGGTATTAATAAATGTGATTTCTTTCACAAATTAACTTCTCTTTTGCCCATTTCCCTTACTAGCTTTTGCATGTGATAAGCATTTCTACTGCCTTTTAGACAACCAAAAGCAGAGAGATGAGGGAAAGAAACATGGAAATTTCAAGCAGGAACAAGAAAGGGAATGGTAGGGAGAACCGAAAGAACAACAAGTAGGAAAAATATTTGGAGGAGAAGGACAGCACCAATATTGGAAGGAGGAAGAAGAAAATGGGAGAAAAGAAAGAAAGGAAGTAAACATAATGGTGGCTATCATTACAGGATCTAACGATGTCGTGGGGTTTTGTGGGTTGTTTGGGGTTTTTTTCAGTGATGCTAAATACAACTATTTACTTAAAATATTTGCAGTAGGATATATTCTGTTTCTGATAGTTTTGTGACAATGTAAGTTTGGATTGAGGGTTATGAAGAGTACACTTTCTTCACCTTAGTGCATAACACAGTAAGTCTGTGTCCCCTTCCTTAAGAGCTGATAAAGAAACACTGTTCTGAAATCTGTGGAAGCTCCTGTAAATAACCCTTGCAGGGAAAAAGAGAGTGAGTAATTTTGTGTCTGACTGCTTGGATTGGAAGTAATTGCAGCCCTATAATGACCAAAGAGTTGTGGGGGCATGTCATGTATTGTGCAGCATTGGATATCAGATACTGATTTTCTACGCTGATGTCTTGACCTTCAGTAGAGCCTTAAACCGTAGCAGTACTCATTCTGTAATTATTCATCTAAACAGTATTTATTGTTTTGACGCCTCTTTCAAGAGTGGCACGTGGGGAGATTGATTTTCTGTACTCACTGCATAGCGGAAATCAGCACGGAAGTC